GAAAAAAATGCAAAAAGGCAATCAAAAAGAAGGAAAAAAACATCACATCCCAGGCAGAGTAGTGTAAACATAGTCAGGCAAAAATATGAAGGAGAGAGTTCAAAGTTTTTTCTTTTCACTTTTGATTAGAAGAACTTTCACACCAATTTTCTCTTAGAGATTTTCATTCATCTTCCAAAATAAGTTTCCAGACACTAAGAATCCACAAGAAACACCTGCGTAAACAACTGTGGTTCTTGCCTCTTATCATGTCTTGACCTTGGATAAGAACATTCTCTCTAAATAGCTCCAGCAATAAAGTTTGGTAACCTTGTTTCAAAGTCCACTAGGTGGCAGTGTTAAATTGTATCAATCCCTAGCCCCTTAACTCTGCCTTTGAAAAAAAAAAAATACTCCTGACGGAGAACCACGGGGCTAAGGAAGCATAACAAAAGGAAGAGAAAAGAGTCTTTAAGGCATAATAAAGGAGAGAATAGTCCCAATGAAATCACTGCCAGATGTCAAAAAAGCTTCAGCAACAAGTCCTCATTAAATTGAAACAAGTTATAACAAGAATCCGATCTGGTTTCCGGTGATAAGAAAAAAGAAAGCCCGGACGATCTCAATTAACCATGCTCAAACCCGCCGATAGTTCTCTGGTTATACACTATTTTCTTTAAATCTTTAAATCTCCAAGTTTAGGGTGTTCTCTTTAGAGAAAAAAAAACTTTGTAAAAGATCTCACCAGAACGGCATGCTTCATTCTCTCTCCAGCTCTTGCTTTACGGAGCTGTCGGCAGCTTCGGCAGCCTAGGAGCTGGCACTTGATCATCTGGAAAAGGGGATTTTTTCAACACCCTATTGTATTTTCTTTAAAAAAAAAATCCCTTAAGTTTGGAATATAAAGAGGGAAGTGAAAGCAGAGCAAAATAAGTAACACTGCCACTTAGAGGCTTGGAGGCTTGGAAACATTGTTTTTGTTTTCTTTGAATCTTGTGCAAAGTAAGAGCTGGTGTTACATTTCAAGGACTCTGAGCTTGTTTATTGAAAATGATAGTGGAATGAGCACGGGTTGTTTATACGGGTGCTTCTCTGGGATACTATCAGTAGTTGGACTGGAGTAAAAAGAAAGCTTGGAGTTGAAAGAAAGAAGATTGCAGTGAACTTGGAAAGAGAACTGTTAACTTTGTTTGGAACTTAATAAAAGAGCCTTGGATTCTATATAGTGGCAGTGTTTACCATCTGGAGGATAAAGATCAATACAGATGATGTTGCAGCAGGAAAAAGAAAAGGAAGTGACATTGCAGATGATTATGTAAGAAATTCAGAAAATACAAGTAAGAACAGAGAACATTGAAAAGAGAACAGAGAATATTGAACAAAGAACAGGAAAAACAGATGAAAACATTGATGATGAAATATGAGGACAGATTTCAAAAAATTGAAGAAAAAGATGAACAAAGAGATAAGAAAATTGGAGAAATTTACAGCAGATTGAGCGTGGTTGAAAAAGACAAGAGTGAGACAGGGCAGGAGCCGAAGTCGCGACGACACGGCGTGCAATCTCAATGCTCTGAGATCGACACTTTTGTCTCTGGGTGGTCTAAACAGACCTAAACTGTCCCGTAGAGATGGTGAACAGGAAGAATACATCTTGCTGATCACAGGGGCATCGCAAAGTCTCTGATTGATCCAAGAGAAGCTCTTGAAGCCTGTGACAAAAAATCCAGCCAAATGGCTGATGAGGTCGGGGCGGCTCCAAAAGGGAAGGATACGGAAAGAGAAAGTGTTTTCAGCTGGTGAGGAATTTTTACTGTTTTAAAAGTGACTGCCTACAAAAAAGCTTAAAACTAATTTAAATTGGAGAACAGAAGAAATAAGTGGAAGAATTAAATTTGGACTTGTTTTGAACAGTGGGTTATCTTACTTTTTAAATGCTATNCTAGAACTCACCATCTCCTGGGGATTGATGCACGGTGACCCAGCCAGCTTTCATGCCTAAGGCAGGACTAGAATCACCATCTCTTGGTGATTGGCCCGAGTCCTCCAACTGGCTATTATACCTAAGGCAGGACTAGAACTCACCATCTCTCAGTCCTCATATCTAGACCCACTTTTCATCCACCCAGTATTTATATGAAAAAAATGGATAGAATAACCTGGTCCTCTCATGCAGGTGATTTACTGTCAGAGTTTGTTGCAGAAAAGTCAAATCCAGAAGGCACACACAGATAACTGATTCAGCTGGATTCCTCAACTTCTTTATTTACATAATAACAGATGAATAAATGTACAATACCAATATAGCTTCTCTCCAACGTAATAGTAGTTACAAGCAAACACAAGCAGGAGAAAACAGTTTCATCTCAGAGTTCAGAGCAGACAGAGTAGTTTCAGTTTCGATTCTCAGCACAGACTCGGATCTGTTTTAATTCCACTAGCTGGCTTAGTTGCGATGCCTATTCTTTGGCTGACCTTGTTACCATCTCTCTCCCAGTCATGAATATTCTAACGTTTACTTATAGCAGTGAGGATTTCTTTTAATTGTTTATAGTTCGGAATCTGTCAGTTTTCTCTCTTTCTATGGAAGAAGATATACCATATATTCCGCCGTATAACCCCCCACTTTCAGTTGCCCATGAGCCAGCTGAAGGCCTCTGTGCTGCTGGGCTTTCATAGTTTGAGCTCAGCGCCTTCCTCCTCCAGACCTTACTAAGCCATCCCAGCGCTCATCCATGTGCCCAGGCGAGGAGCGCCAAGGTTATCGATTGAAAGGCTGGTGTCTACGCTGGCGTCGTCATGGCTTTTTGCTTAGCGGCGTTGCTTTTTCTTTTGTTTTTTTGGTATGGCCTTTCTTATACCCGGCGTATAAGATGACCCCCGATTTTTGTAATAATTTTTTGGGGTTAAAAAGTCATTTTATATACCGGAAAATGCAGTAGTGTCAGTCCAGATTAAGAAACCAGTGCCATACAGTAGGTCAGGACTATTTTTTATTGTAACAGATAGTAATAGAATCTTGGAACTTTGAATATGCTTTCCCTTCCCTCACTGATTTTCTTAGTCTGAGATCAAGCCCCGCTTATCTAATTATTTTTTTAAAGTTTTTTTCCCCAAAACAAACACAACACATAAAATCTTCCTTTCTTACATACTGTAGAAAGTGTATCAGTTGGTTACAAAAGACTTTCGTGCAT